GTATTGTACTTGTGTTACTTTGATTTTGATGACAATGAAAAGCTGATCATTAATTCCCAGCCTGAAGATAAATATCCACATGTTTCAAGTCAAAGTCAACTGGACGTACTTTAGTTAGTTTAGGACAAAAGGTCTGATCAAGTCTTTCACATGAGAATTTCAAACACGCTCAGGTGAAAACTTTAAAAACATCTTTCTGCTCCAGACACTAGTTTCTCTCTTTCACTTCACATCACTGAACGACTGGTGCCAGTTGTGGTTAACTTATGATGCTAGCTTAGCTTAGCATTCACATGATAATCTAATGAGACGAGTGTTCCTCTAAAACACAAGTGAACAACAGAAGATCAAATAACTGTGTTGATATTTGGAACAATATTCACCTCGTGATGGATCTATGGGCTCCGGATCCAAGCATCTCCAGCTCCGTGCGGAAGCACCGACTGACAAACAGGAAGAGAAGGAGTCCAATGGGATATATGAAGAAGGAGGTGGGACCTGGAATATACAAAGTTAGGTAGATCCTCAGGGAGAAGTTTGTTAAACTCACATTATAAATCATATGTTTTCCTGCAGATGTTAATAATAATGATAATTAGCTTTTAAACCAGAATGGATCGTAAATAGGCTTGATAATGTGTAAAGGCTGCAAACACATGAGCAATTAGCACATTAGCCACTGGCCTATTAGCACACCTGTTGCTCTACAAACATTACAAAACAAGAAGGTCGCATATTGTCTCATTGTCCATTTGAAGTCCAATGGAATAATAAGACAAACTTCAGTTGTACAAGTACATGTACTTCACAAGTCCTCGTGGACTTCTTTCTTTCCACTGGGAGGTGTTGTCCCTGTCGCGCTGGCAGCCGACTGCAGTCGGTCACTAATAGTGACCCCCCTGCACCTGGTACCGATTAGTTGTTCCGCCACGAAACACCACATTTTCAGAACCCTTACACATAAATACTTATAATGCCCAATAAAACAATTCTTCATTACATTAAATGATTTTTACATTGACTAACTAAATGTCTTACTTCAACTTTGAACTGTATAACTGAGTAATGATCAGGTGTTGAAGAGGAGGGGGATGGAATCTCGTTACACTTGTTCTACTCTGGAAAAGATGTCAAATTGAGTTCATAGGGTTAGGGTTTAGGTTAGGTTTCATTGAATCAGTTCCTGAAAAAGTCAAATTCTGCAACTTGGTGGATCTTGTTGGGAACCAACAATGAAAGATGAACCCACGTCAGATGATCTGTGAGGCAAAGCTCAAAGATTTCTGTTGGGTTGATAAGATGTGAACTCACGTGAGCTGAACTGCCATCAGGGCTAGAACCACCTGAAACACTTGATTGGATTAAATTGTCATAGAACATTGTAATACAATGGCTGGTTCTTTAAAACATTGTAAAATTTGTAATTGTTTTATTCAGGAATGTTGATTATATTAAATTTATAATTTAAAAGTAAATACCATTTATACTTCGTCACATTCCAGCCAGTTTTCATGCCAAAACTTGTTGCAGATTGCTCCCTCACCACTTGTAGTTGTAGGCTGTGGTGAGGATTCGAACCAGTTTCTCACACCTGGAAGAAAATCTCAGCATCATTGTTGCCAGAGGAAAAGCACCTGATTTCGTCCAAAAACTCCATCGTTAAAATAAGTTAAAAATAAATAGTGAAAATAGAAAATGATATAGACATGTGATGAGTTTCCCCAGCCAGCGGGGGGCGCCACTGCACCGGCTCGTCCATCAGTAGCAGCCGTCTCTGCAGGTGCCGTCACGAAGCGCAGTGACCCCCTCTGGCGGACGTTTTGCTAAACAGAGGGATCCCGCTGTTACTACTAATGACTGATTGTTTTTCAGGAACTCAGGTGATCCATCATCATCATCATCACCCATGTGACCCACAGACTGAGAATAAATATGTAAACACAGTGGAGTCAGGAGGCTTTAGTCCAAACGAACAGAACAAATTATAGAGAGGACAAATCACAACAAAACTAGACATCAACAACAAGAAGCAAAGTAATACAACGTCATTTAAAATCAAAGAGGACAAATGGTAAAATACAAAATTTAAAATCAAAGATGACAGATAATAAGATACAAAAATCTAAAACAAACTACAGCTAATTATTAAATACAGAATCTACCACAATACGACAAGTGGTAAAATTAACAAAAATCTAAAATAAAAAATGACAACTGATAAAATAGATTATCGACAATCAGAGATGACAAATTCAAAAAATACAAATCTAAAATCAAACACAGCTAATGATTTAATACAGAAACTACAATCAAAGATGTCAAATAATAAGATATAGAATCTAAAATCAACAACAGTTCATGATACAATTCTAAATCTGAAATCAAAGACAAGCAGATCAAAAAATACAACATCATATAAAAGTAATGGCTGCTGGGGTGCAGGGAGGAAATATGTCCAGCAGGTGTCCCCGTTTCACTCTCATCTCCTGAGCTGCCTTTAAGATTTCCTGCTGATTCTTATAAGTTCATATGATTTTAACTACAAGACTCACACACAGCTGCAGATCTCACTGCAGACGTCTGTACGGCTGTAAATGAATACATAGCAGTAACACACACACACACACACACACACACACA